TTTTTTTTTTAGGAATCACAACTGTTCTTACAATGACCACAATCAACACCCACCTTCGGGAAACTCTCCCCAAAATCCCCTATGTAAAGGCCATTGACATGTACCTGATGGGGTGCTTTGTCTTTGTTTTCATGGCCCTGCTGGAATATGCTTTGGTCAATTATATCTTCTTTGGGAGAGGACCCCAACGCCAAAAGAAAGCTGCTGAGAAAGCTGCTAGTGCCAACAATGAGAAGATGCGCCTGGATGTCAACAAGGTAAATTTAGAGGGCAGGCTGTCCTTGCTGCTTAAACTCATAGAAGAATGCTAGCACTATAGGTTAATGGCCCTGTTTTACAAATGAGGAAACCAAGGCCCAGTGAAGAGAATAGGTAATTTTCCCCAAATCACACAGATAATTAATGATGTTGGCATAATTAGGGCCCAATCTCATGACACAAGGTTTGGCTGCCCTTTCCATTAACAATAGGGTTGCCCAAACCATAGTCATCTGAAAACCACCTTTATGAGTTTTTCCATATATGAATATAATGTCTACGATTATTTAATTTATATTTCTTTAAATTTATTCACTTTATTTAAATTTATTTAAAAAGGAAACTGCTTGTTACTCTAATCAGTATAACTTGCTGGAAGATAATCTTAAATATAAATAAATCAATAAAAACTACATAATTAAATTCTAAGTTATAGTAGATGAAGTTTCTGGACCTGAGATCTGCATTCTCTTTGACTTAAAGAGAGATAGAGAGGTATGTGTTAAAGACCCACCAGCAACAAACTGAGACTTTTTCCTTGAAGTAATCAGAAGGGTAGAAAGAGAAGTGTAGGGGGAAAATGAGGAACGCTTTTTTCCTTAAGTGGCACTTGATATTTTGCCCGTATACCACTTACCGTTGAAGCATTTGACTACATAAGGTTAACATCTTGCTTAAGTTAGGCAGAGTCAGAGAATTCCCATACTATTTGTAAACCCTGTTTATTCTTAAAGTCAGTAGTTCTCAGCCTTGTATGCTCAGTAGAGTGACCTGCAAAGAATTCATAAATACTGAAGCCTGGGTCCTTTTCCCAGAAATTCTTATTTGATTTGTCTTGGAGCATGCCTGGGAATCATAATTTTTAAAAGTTTCCCAGGTTATTCTAAATTGCAACCAAGTTTGAGAATCACCACTTTGAGGCTTTGACAGCAGTCCCAATGGAGCCAGCCCTCTTTACTCCCAAAATGTAACTTCACCTGGCTTCCTATTATAGAAGTTCCTGCAGTAAAAAAGAAAATTTTAGTATGTATTTCCCTATAGTCCAAATTTAGACCCTTAGAAATAGACAAAGAACACAAGGTCTTGTTTTAATATCTGCCCTAAATAGTGTTTATAAAGTAGTGTATAATGTTGGAGTCAATAAATAGTTCGTAGTGATGGGACTAGGAAAGCAGTAATACTTTTAAACCATCTGGAATTATTAACCGTAACATTAATTGATTATTCCATTAATGTTTTAGTACTTTTAACTTTAATTCCAAAGATAGCACACCATAAATAATCTCCTGCACCGGGTTTTATTTAAAGCAAACTCTATGGAAGTTTCTGACTCACTAGTGCTTTCCACATATCCATAGGTCTGATATTTGGTTTTGGACTATTCTCTAATCAAAGGCATTTTTTTTCTCAAAATATGATATTTGTAATGATAAGAATTTTAGGTATGACCTTTGAAAGCCAATAAACCATGAGATCTGGGAAATTGTCAAGTTCTTTCCTATGCCCAAGGTTTCACTTACAGGAATCTGTCAATAGATTCCAACCTACCATTATGGCTGTCAAATGAGAGTGCTTTTTAAATCCATTTTTTGATTTTCCTTATTTGGCAGACTTAATAAAGAGGAGAAAATGAATAAATAAATAAAACTATCTCCTAGGACTTCAGTTTGAAATGAATCTAAATCAATTGCATAATGCAAGGCTGACTTAATAAGATAACATCTGATCTCTTTTCACTTTCATCTACCCTATTTTTTCATACCAATTTGCATTTAAATGATAAATTTAAGACCTAAAGAGTGGAGATTTTATACAAACTAAACTGGGAGAGCATCAGATAATTATTAATTTGATTGCACTGAGATGAAGATAAAGAAAGGTTCACTAGGCAGGTGCCCCACAGTGGTGAAAAGGCCATCCTCTTGGCTGCAGGTAGACCCACAATTCAGGTGATAGAATATGACAGAACAAAAAAGATACCTAGAAATCTTCTAGTGCAGTGGTTCTCAAAACAGGGGCAATCTTGTCTTCCAGAGGATTTTTGTCAATGTCTGGAGACATTTTTTGTTGTCAATACTGGAAAATGGGGTTTGCTTCTGGTATCCATTGTGTAGAGGCCCAGGATACTGCTAAACATTCTGTAATACATTGGACAGCCTCCCCATAATAAGGACTTATATAGCCTAAAGCATCCAGCTCCCTGGATTCAAACATGAGAAACTGAGGCCCAGAAAAAATTATTTGCTTTTCCTATTCTTATAGAGGCCCAGGATACTGCTAAACATTCTGTAATACATTGGACAGCCTCCCCATAATAAGGAATTATATAGCCTAAAGCATCCAGCTCCCTGGATTCAAACATGAGAAACTGAGGCCCAGAAAAAATTATTTGCTTTTCCTATTCTTTATAGGACAAAATGTTTTGTTTTGTTTTGTTTTTTTAACAAAAATGGTTTATCCATTTTTTTGACCAGCTTGTGTAACGATCAAGACATTAGGGATTATGATTTAGCACAGTGGTTCTGAACAATTGTTTTGGAGCCAGTCAGGTTCAATAGTTATCCTCCCCTTTAATAGCTGTGTGAAGATAGGGAAAAAAAAAATCAGCCTCTCTGGCTCTTCAGTTTCCTCATCTGTAAAATGGGATTAATTCCTCTATCATAAGCTTATTATTAAGATTGTTGTCATAATGTGTAAAGAGGGTAACATAGTCCTCAGTACATGGCAAGCACTCAGTAAGTAGTACATATTAATAAAATAGTAAAACATTATTTATGGCAAGCATTATTACATTTTAAAATAAAATTTACAGTCTCCAAACTTATTGGCAAAGCTAGCTTGTGCGTTTCACATGCCACAGCTTGTAGGATGCAGTTACATCTCTAAAGGAAAGTATTAGCTATAAAGGAATGTTTTATGCCAGAAGTTTCAAAGTCAAAGCAAGGAAATCATTTTTCAGTGAGCATTAGCTGTAAAATCTATACCAAACCAACCATGTCAAACTTTATCAATCATTTCTTAGGACAGAATACCTATAGCCATCTCGATTAGACCATCTAACAATTCCAGATTCCCATGGTTTCTTTTCTCACCCAGAATGAAAGGTTAGAGAAGCTCTTCATTGTGTTCTGATTACACAGTGCTTCCTTTTGTGTTGGCATCATGAATAATGCCACCCAATTTCTTATCAAGAAGGTCTCTTCTTTTTAACTATATCTCAAAAGGCTCCCCCGCCCGAAAAAAAAAAAATTGGGCACATATAATCAACTAAGTATTGTTAGCTGCTCTGGAAAAATCAGTCCCTAGGAGAGGGCTTGAATTTTTCAACTTCCTTTGGTGTTTCCCTGTAGATGGAAGTGGTGTGTCAGGTCATCTAAAGTCATTTTTAAACTGTGCCCTGTTCTGAGGTCAGGGAGGGATGAAAATGAGAAGGCTGCCCAGGTGGGAGCCCAATGTTCTTTCAGCAGATGCTTCCACATTTTTCCAGTCTCTTTTCTCCGTTAGTTTCCCTTAAGTTTTTGTTTTAAGGTGGGATTTTGCAGCTCTTAAAACAATTCCCATTTCCTGTCCAGTCACTTAGCTGATGCAAAATGTAAGTCTCTTAAAGAAAGTGAAACAGCCAAGTTTGTATAACAAAGTCAGCAAAAGTTCTGAGACATGATCTGGGTTTTCTTCTTATCCAGTGTACATGTCACTGTGCTAGCAGATGAAAAAGTAAAATAAAATTGAAAAGCTGATTTCACATGAGACCATATATTCAGCTCAGTTGATTTCACCTGGAAAATCCCACCTGAACATGAAAGTCCATAAGCAAGTGTTATTTTCACAGTTGTCTTCATGTGACAAATTAAGTTGTAAAATACTAAGATTTTTAAAATAAACTTCAAAGCAATGTGAGGTCTACTGAATATTTTTTCCCAAGAGTCCTCTGTAGTAGTTCAAAAATATAATCTCTATCCTAGTCTTAGGAGAGTCCTTCCCATTATCCCTTGCATTCTTCTATTTGTGTGTGTGTGTGTGTTTCTTAATAGAATTTGCTTTTAATTGATTTCAACCACTATTCTTGCTAACGCCTACAAGTTTTCAATTCTTTTTTTTCTTTTAAGCTTTATGTTGTTTGTTTATTTTTCTGCCAATTACTAAGCATGTACATATTTAAGAATCTAGTTATTCCTGCTATTTTCCCACCTTGGTTCTTGCTTATCTGAAATATCTCCGATATCCTTATTGTATTGGGAAACCCACAACAACCAGTTTTCTAAACAAAGCTGCCTCAAAGAGATCTCCATTCGAGTGTGTTCTTTATTCTGCATTCATTGATGTTGTGATTCTCTGTGTTGTCTTTATCCATTGTACCTAATCATTTGTAATGGAAAGCCACTGAGATCTTTTAAATCTGTTTATTTCTACTGCTTGGATTTGGAATTCTAAACAACAACTTATTTGAATTTCCATTCTTTGTTAGCACTGGTCTTTCCTTATGCTCTCCAAAGCCCAGTAGCATTTATCTATATCCCAATTTACTTTAACCCCCAGTCCTAATCTAGTGGCATCAGTCGACTTAATTAGCACATTCTCTACTTTGTCTTCCAGATTTTTTATAAAGATATTAAACAAAATGGGACCCAATATCGATCCTTGTGGGACCCTACTGGAAACCTCTCCCCAACTAGACGGACTACCAATTACGATTTCTCTCTGTATACGGTTAGATAGCCAGTTTTTAATCCATTTATTTGTATTTCTGTTGGAGCCATTTTGTTTAGCTGTTCCCTTTAAAATAATGTATGGAGTCTTTACAGATAACCTATGGACATGTATCCATAGAGACTTGGGATAAGTTCAATGTTTTTGTGAGACCCTAGTGGGGTTTTCCCAGGTTTATTTTTTCAATTACCTATGATGAACCTAAACTTCAGTGTTCCATTCAGGAATTATTGTTGTGCTAAACAAAAAAAAAAAAAAATCAAATGGAACATATTCTGAGATTTCTTTTCAT